ATTTGTCAATTTTGGCTTTTGCTGCTGTTTGCTTTTGGTGTTTTAGACATGACTAAGTCTTTGCCCAGCTGCTATGTCCTGAATGGTACTACTAGGTTTTCCTCTAGGATTTTTATGGTAGAGGTCTAACATTTAAGTTCTAATCCATCTTGAATTAATTTCGTATAAGGAGTAAGAAAGGATCCGTTTCAGCTTTCTACTTATGGCTAGCAATTTTCCCAGCACCATTTATTAAATAGGGAATCCTTTCCCATTCTTGTTTCTCTCAGGTTTGTCAAAGATCAAATGGCTGTAGATGTGTGGTAATTATTCTGAGGACCCTGTTCTGTTCCATTGGTCTATATCTCTTTTGGTACCAGTACCATGCTGTTTTGGTTACTGTAGCCTTGTAGTATAGTTGAAGTCAGGTAGCGTGATGCCTCACAGCTTTGTTCTTTTGACTTAGGTTTGTCTTGGAGATGCGGGCTCTTTTTTGGTTCCATATGAACTTTAAAGCAGTTTTTTCAATCTGTGAAGAAACTCATTGGTAGCTTGATGGGGATGGCATTGAATCTAAATTACCTTGGGCAGTATGGCCATTTCACGATATTGATTCTTCCTATCATGAGCATGGTATGTTCTTCCATTTGTTTGTGTCCGTCTTTTTTTCACTGAGCAGTGGTTGTAGTTCTCCTTGAAGAGGTCTTTCATCCCTGTAAGTTGGATTCCCAGGTATTTTATTCTCTTTGAAGCATTTGTGAATGGAAGTTCATTCCTGACTTTGGCCTCTGTTTGTCTGTTACTGGTGTATAAGAATGCTTGTGATTTTTGCACATTAATTTTGTATCCTGAGGACTTTGCTGAAGTAGCTTATCAGTTAAGGAGATTTTGGGCTGAGACAATTGGTGTTTTCTAAATATACATCAATGTCATCTGCAAACCAGGGACAATTTGATTCTTTCTTTTCCTAACTGAATACCTTGATTTCTTTCTCTTGCCTAATTGCCCTAGCCAGAACTTCCAACACTATGTTGAATAGGAGTGGTGAGAGAGGGCATCCCTGTCCTTGTTCCAGTTTTCAAGGAATTTTTCCAGTTTTTGCCCATTCAGTATGATATTGGCTTGTGGTTTGTCATAAATAGCTCTTATTATTTTGAGGTACATTCCATCAATACGAATTTATTGAGAGATTTTTAGCATGAAGGGCTGTTAATTTTGTCAAAGCCTTTTCTGCATCTATTGAGATAAACTGTGGTTCTTGTCTTTGGTTCTGTTTATATGCTGGATTATGTTTATTGTTGCGATGTTGAACAGCTTGCATCCCAGGGATGAAGCCCACTTGATCATGGTGGATGAGCTTTTTGATGTGTTGCTGAATCCGGCTTTGCCAGTATTTATTGAGGATTTTGCATTGATGTTCACAGGATTATGGTCTTAAATTCTCTTTTCTTGGGCTGCAGCAGCTGACCAGCACCGATCGTCCGGCACTCTCCAGTGAGATGAACCCAGTACCTCAGTTGAAAATGCAGAAATCACCGGTCTTTTGTGTCGCTTGCGCTGGGAGTTGGAGACTGGAGCTGTTCCTATTCGGCCATCTTGCTCCGCCCCCCCATAATTTCTTAAATATTTTAAATTATTTGGTTAACATTTAAATGAATACAAGTTCCCATAAAATCTTGATCTCTGAACTCTCAAAAAATCAAATTTCCGGTAACACTAGGCCTGAATTCCCAAAAGGCAATGATAAACGGGAGCTATGTTGCAGTTTTCTTCATGCTTTTAGGGCGTTTCAGTCTTCCTATTGCTTCTGCTGCACTGAATACAAGGGTCAGTGGCCAGTCCTGAGCATAACTGTCATGTTTTCATAGATAACAATTTTTTCAAAAGGAAACATTTCTGGTATCCATATTCTGTCAAAAATAGAAAAATGAAAGATCAGTTTGGAGGACCTTATACTTCAAAATAAAGGGAGGTGGGTGAAGAAAGAGAAGAGCATATGGTGGAAGCATAAATTGTTTCTTCATGTTTAATATTAAGCAATAAAAGAAGGTTTTATAAAAGGAGCTATCTGCTTTCCACATGTATTCATACCCAGCCTCTGTAACCATTTGAAATTGCAAACTTTGTTTAAAACCCTTATCTGTTCTCTTTTTCCTATCACGTCAGAAAGTAAACAGAGAATATCCTAGCACTGACAAATTCAAACTTTACTTGTTTGCTATTTTTTTCACCCAATCTTACTTCTATTTCAACACTTACGTTAAAAACATAACCAAGTAGTTAACTCTATAGCAGTGGTTCTCAACCCTAGCTGCACACTAGACTCACCTGGGACACTTTAAAAATACCACTGCCATGCCTCCACCCCCAGAGGTTCTTATTTATTATGTATATAATGTGACTTTTCCATCAGCACTTCAATTTTTTTTTTAGCTCCCCACATGATTTTAATGGGAAGCCAAGGTTAGAATCATTGCTCCAAGAATTTTGCTGTCCATTAAATTCTGGAATATATGTCATCCAACCTCTGCTCTCTGTCACTTTGCAAATTTCATGAGTTACTTAACCTCCTTAGGTCAAATATTTTTCTTTATAAAATGCTATAGGCAGTGACACAGGGTGAGTTCTTCTGGAAGCTGAAACTAAGGCAAGGATTCCAGTGAAAAACATATTACACTCTTTCAGGAGCAATCAAATTCCCCAGCAGCCTGATACTGCTAGAAGCTGTAGAGAGTGAATGACACCTCAAAGTTGGTCACAAACATGAAGGCAAAGAAGTGGAGCTTTTGTACTCCTGCACCAGTTATTGACTATGTAAGGGTAGGGGTGGGGAGGCAGGGGAAATGACCTAAGAACTTCCAGTGCTTCCAACCACCCTCTGATCACTGGTAGGCACAGTCAACAGGAAAGCACCCAGAAGATGGGGGATGGGTGCATGGAGCTGGAATACAGGATCCTAGGGGCATTTCTATGGGACTCCATGCAACCGTGCCCACTACAGTCCACCCAAACATTCTTATAGAAGGGAAAGTGCAGGATGGTGGTGAAGGACAGGGTGGTGTTGAACTAGAAGATCTCGAAAACCTTTTCTAGGTGCAAAAATCTATAAAATGACGAGTTGATGGGTGCAGCACGCCAACATGGCACAGGTATACATATGTAACAAACCTGCACGTTATCCACATGTACCCTAGAACTTAAAGTATAATAATAATAAAAAAAAATACTGTCTGAAACATGCTGTTTGAATCTTTATTTTCTAACTGATAAATACTTAAAGATTTTGTTCTCTCTTTGCCTCAATCATCTTTTGGTTCCTATTTTGGTAACTGCATGACAGTTTGACAGATACTAATTAACAACAAAAACTTGATTATTTTAAGGAAGTTTAAGGAAATACCTTAAAGCTTCAATAAAGGAAGGAAAACATTCTTTGCCATGGTAGTTGCTCAGTCTTACCAGTCAGGATGTTATACATTTGTAAGCCAATTTGGAGTCATGTAAGTTGACCAAAGATTTACATAAATGACTAGATATGTAGAAGATATATTCTATTTTTATATTTGCCACATATTTATTTAACTGATTATGTAAGAATAATACATAATTCTTACAAAATCAACATGGTGGCTCATGCCTGTAATCCCAAGACTTTGGGAAACCGAGGTGGGTGGATCACTTCAGGTTGGGTTTTCGAGACCAGCCTGGCAAACATGGTGAAACCCTGTCTCTACTAAAAATACAAAAATTAGCTGAGCATGGTGGTGCATACCTGTAATCCCGGCTATTTGGGAAGCTGAGGCAGGAGAGTTGCTTGAACCAGGGAGGTGGACATTGCAGTGAGCCTAGATAGCTGCCATTGCACTCCAGCCTGGGTGAGAGAGTGAGCAAGAAGCATCTATGTACAATTTAGTCTCTGTTATCTGTTTTAATAAGAAATCCTATAATGGGATATGTAAGACTTATGCTCAGATGATTGAGGCTTATTGTAAATACATTTTCCTAGTTGCAGAGAATTAAGGGAGCAGACAGCAAGAACAGCTTTTCAGGCACTTAATTTTTTTTGCTATGAAAAACTATAGTAAATGAAGCACAACATTTTCACTCAAAATGAAAAATGGTAACTAATTTACTCTAATAAGTACAGCAGTAATCTTAAGAATATTATTTTTAATCATATTAAATTTGGCTTGCCTAGAGAATAATGTCTTGGAAAAGTACCAGTGTTGTAGAAATTTGTAGTACAATCTTGACACTCAGCCACAGAATATAATGTAGAAACTCTGATACAGTTTCCTCATCACAGTCTCTACAAAAACCCTTTTAAAAAATAAGTTGAAGTTGGTTTTTACTATTGTAAGCAAATTGCCAAAATGCTTATTTTAAGTAAATAGGACGGGACTGGAGCATAGTCAAAATTTAAATTTCTTGACACTCTTTTCTTTAGGTTAGTAATTAAATGAATAAATTATTAACATATTTATATGTATATATACATACAATTGCAGACAAAGAATAGATATGTTTGTGTAGGAGGAAAACTAGCAATTTTAAGGATCTATTTGCCTATTTTATATTATATAGTTTATATAAATTATATCATTTAATACAACAGCCCTATGAGATATATTAAGCATAATTTTACAGGATAGGAAAAAAGAATCAAAAATATAAAATTAATTGCCCAAGGGGTACATAGCTATTTAACTTTGCAGTTGAGATTGAAATCTCAGTCTGACTGGCTTCAGTTCTTTTTCACTACAATGTGCAAGGAAAAGAAGTATGTGGTTAAAAATAAATGAATGCCACAAAACTCTTACTGTCTTTTCTGAGATCAAAATCTACCTCTACAAATTCTGGTTTAGATTTATGTGAATAAGTCAATCCTGATGCTGGTCCATCTTATCTTCTGAAAAACTTTACTTTTTATATTGTAATGTACAGAGTCATTTTTTAGATTTTCTTTGAAGATCCTTCAGGAAATGTATGAGAAAAAAAGAAAGAAGAGTTGCCACCTGACCTTGTCCTTCAACTCTGTTCTGAGGCAGAATGGAGAGGATTTGTGAGGGCTTCCTGACGTCTAAATTCTTCATGCTTGGATAATGAATTCCAAAAACAACCCACTCTCTTTGTTACTTGTATTTTGTTTCCAAAAGGGGCATAGAAAGGTATAAGAAAACATTGTTTCCTTGATATTTTTCTAGAATTTGGCAGCACCGACATAAGCATTTGTTTCTTAACAAAAACAGACATTTACATTCTCTGGTGTTCTGTGTTTTGAAATGACAACCGTAGGTAAGAAAAGAATTGTTAATCAGGATTCCAAGTACAAAAACTGTCAGCAAAAGGAGTGATTTTTGATTTGGAAGACAGGATTTGACTTTATTTTTTAATATGCATGTAAGTGTTCTTTCTTCCAAAGATGACATCTTATTTATGTATTTTTATAAATAAATTTAGTTTCTTCCATGCTGTTCTAGAAGCATATTTTCTTTATTTGATTCCATTGAGGTAAAAAGGGTTTTAGTGTGGAACACAGTGATGTCTCTAATGAGAAACTCCAGGATCCAGGAATTCTCCCTATGTTGGGGATAAAAGACAGAACAAAGCAGTCAGGAAGTCTGCCCTTAGGGGAGCTTACAGTCTAAATGGGAAACAGGTGATAAGCAAAATAAGTAACTAAATTGTATAGTATGTTGGATAATGGTAAGTATATTGAAAGAAAGAAAAAAGGGAAGGGAATAAGAAGAGCTGGAGGCTGAAATTTTATAACAGGTAAAGTTTAGAAGAGGTAAATTTCTTTTTCAGCAACATGCAACAAAGGAAACTTGCTTCTTCTAAACTTAACCTCTTCTAAAATGTCACAACCAGATTAAATATTTAAATTTTAAAACCAGATTAAAGATTTAAAAAGCAAAAAGAAAGAAAATTTATTGTAAGGCCACTAGAGTATTTCAAAAAACCAGGAGAAACTGGGCTATGGCAAATGCCAACATAGAAGAGAAAACAAACATACTAAATGGTCACATGGTGACATGATTTGGCTGTGTCCCCACCCAAATCTCATCTTGAATTATAACTCCCACAATTGTCACATGTTATGGAAGGAACCCAGTGGGAGATAATTGAATCATGGGGGTGGTTCTTTCCCATGCTTTTCTTGTGATAGTGAATAAGTCTCACGAGATCTAATGGTCTTAAAAATGGGGGTTTCCCTGCACAAGCTCTCGTCTCTTGTCTGCCACCATGTGATACGTGCCTTTCACCTTCTACCATGATCATGAGGTCTCCCTAGCCACTTGGAACTGTGACTCCATTAAACCTCTTTCTTTTGTAAATTGCCCAGTCTCAGATACGTCTTTATCAGCAGCATGAAAACAGACTAATACACGTGGAATATTCATTATAGAAGGCAAATAATCATTTAGACAAATTGTCATCTAGAGCAACTTCTTTTCTATCTTTTTTTTTTCCAATTAAAATGTATTGAGCTGTCTCACCTGTGGCTATGTTTGGCTTCCTTCTCCATCTCTACTTCTTTGAGGTGTTGTCTTCTAGCTCCTGGCATAATGGGACAAGGTATTTAGAATCAGAACACCTGGATATGTGTCCCATTTTTCTCTCACTAGTTGTGTCTTGGGCATGTTGCACCACTGTCTTAGTCCTTTTTGTTCAATAACCACCATATAGCCTTTAAATAATAACATGTTGTAATTTTAGAAAACCTGTGAGAGCTAAGTGATTGTCTTAACACGTAGAATTAACCCTTAAGAAGATCAGTCAAGAAGGTAATTTAGAGAGAATGAAAAAAGCACTAAAAATGTATCTAAAGGAAAACCTACATATAGAAATTAGAAGAAACAGAGGTTCAGGAAGGTGGAGAAAAACCAGAGAATTTTTTAAAATCTAAATTAAAACTAAATTTAAAAGAAATTAATAAAAAATATAGTTACAAGAAAGGCAAATAAATCAGCAGTCTTCTGAACAGATATCAAGGTCAATCACTTAGACAATAATCATTGAAAGTGGTGACAAGGTTATCTAAGGATCACTGAGGAAAAACAGGTTTGCAGAAAAGGAGGGATGAAGATTATAAATAGAAATCTGTAGAGATTTTTATTTCAATGTCCAAATCTACATCTTTCTATATAAATGGGAAAAATAAATCTGATCATACCAAGATGCAAACAAGGGGATCTTACTGGTAGTGTTGTGAATTATAATTCATTTCAGGAGAAAAAAATTGAATTCTGGTTACCAGGTTTTAATTTAGGTAAATATTATTGAAATAAAAACTTCAGAACCCTGTCTTTTCTTCACCACTTCCTGATCCTTTTTGTTGTCTCTCTGTCTTCTTGAGTTGGATGGAAACATGGTATTTTTCAAGCTACAAGAGAACTTAACAGCTATCCAGTTGAGATTCTTATCATTTTTTATGAAACTCTTTAAGAAATAGACATGTTATGGACACTGTTAGGAGGAAAATGCATCCATACACGCAAAAAAAAGATTTGGATATAATTTCAGTGTTCTCTCAATCTTTAACCTTATCCAACTCTGTAGTTTCCTAAATAAATAAAGTCACTAAAAGTGTGTTTTTACTCAGATAACCAACCGATATGTACAACAGTGGAAATTCAATTATGTATATAAAAACATTATTCAATACTCTCTACAACGCCACCTTGATTCTCTGTAAGCATGTCTCATGCAAAAGTGATTATCTAGTAAACTTTAGCTGTATCCACATTAGAGTACACATAAGGGTTTTGGATAGGCACACAAGGGGTTTAGTGGAGAACAGCTTCTGGAGCCAAGCACACCTGGGCTCCAAGCTCTCACACATACTAGCTGTGGGACCCTGCACTGCAGACTGTCTGATACAAGTGTCCATTTCCTCGTCTGTTCATGAGTGATATCTCTAAAATCTAGCCCTGGGCCTTTGCAGAATTAGGCATGGTAATGCGTCTAAACTGCTTATTAAGGTGCTTGGAACATAGAAGTAAATATTAGCTCAAAGTAGTAACAAAAGTATCCACTATCATTAGGTTATACACCATTTAATCTGAAGGGTCCCCTACATTCAAGGTTGATTAGGTTATCTGTGAAATTTTAACAGCCCAAGCTGACATTCCGGATCTGCCACTAACAAGACACTTTGACAGGTGTTCTGCCTTCCAATTCTAATATTTACAGAGTTCTAAGTATGGTGTTTAAAGATTCTATCTTGGTTTGAGTGTCCAAGGAGAGCATATATGAATAAGCCTGTTTATTTCTTTCTAAGGCTTAAAATTGCAATTTAGGAATCAGTCACGAAGTGGACATTTTTATGGTTTTATGCTGTAAGTTTATGACCTATGTATCTCAGTTTCCTCATGTATTTAGAGAAGAACCATGCACGCTAGCAACCTATGTTATTATTAAAAATGTAGGAAAGATTAAAGTTAATCATTTTAAAAAACACAATATATGGGAAATTTTTATAATTCAAACACTGGGAGTTGTGGCTACTCTGTTTAAAAGTAGATGAATCTCTACTCAAAATTCGGTTCATGTCAAGACTGATGACATCACATACACCAGGAGAGTACGAAAACGTTTCTTACTTACAGAACTGATGCTTTTCTGGTGAAAGCAAGGCAGGCCTCCCAAGCAGGTCTGGAATGACTTGAGAGAGCTAGGAAAGAAAAATGGCATGTATTTTGATTCCCAACAACAGGTAAGGCCAGTGGTAAAGTTCCCATTCAAGGGCAGGAGTGTACATGGTGAAATCATCAATGCCAGAGAAGTGAGCACCCAGGCATTTTAATCAATTTGCCCAGAGTTGAGGAAAAATAGAGGAGACACGGTGGGCCTGAGAGTTGTCAGCCGTTAAATATCAAAAATGGGATTAGATCCTTATTACACTATGTTGGGTGACACATCATTGCACACATCTTAACTACTATCACCACTCTCAATAGGTTATTCTAACTCTATTTAGAGAATACGTGAAACTCATCCACTGGGTGCCTAAAGCCTCTGTTGGAACAGCCTTAACTATTTAGGGCCACATAAGCCTTCCACCGAAACCTAAGTTTTCCACTGTCCATTTCCTCGTCTGTTCATGAGTGATATCTCTAAAATCTAGCCCTGGGCCTTTGCACTGTCTTGCCCATTTTTATCAGGCTCTGTTCTTGCAAATTCTTTAACTACATTTCAGCAAGAGAGAAAAACTGACCATCTGTAGCATTCTCTCATCTAGTCAGGAATGAAAAGAAATAGTGAAAAATTGTGATTATGCTGGCAAATCTCTTCATGACTTTCTTTTTCTAATCAGGAAAACAATTTGATCATGTTCCAAGGATTTAAAAATGAAATACATTTAACTTCTTTACCAAATTATATAGATTTTTTTCAAGTTTATTTCTACTTTCAAAGGTACCAGATACATTTTCCTCTTGAACATTTTAAAATAGCATGCATAGCTGCATACTTAATAGATAGCAACTCTGAATCACAGTGATAGACAATCACTCCTACTCTAAATGCCAAATGATTATATGGTATAAACCATTAAGTGCTTTGGGTGCTCAGAAGAAGACATATGTGTTTGAGATAGAGGGCACAGGCAAGATTCTTCTCAAGAAAAGAAGGAATTCAATAGTTAGATTTAGAGAAATTACATGGAATGAGGAGGAGGAAATTTCAAACAGCAGGAAAAGCATAACATCACACACAGGTAAGTGCTAATACAAGGCCTGCTATTTGAACACAATGTAAGTATGTGTGCTTGTGCTTTACATGTACAGACACATGGCTCCAATATAAAATAACAGAATAGGAAGTGATTTTTCCTTCCATATTCAAGGAACATGTATATTCTTTATGTTATAAAGAAATTTCTTTTTGGAAAAGTCATTAGAAACCAACTGAAATTGCCATGCCTGCTCTGAAACAAGATTTACAGAACACAAAACTACGTGTGAAATATGAAATGTTATAGAGATTTCACAAGAGTTTTGAGACTAAAGGACTATTCACAATATGGCGTTGGTGGAAATGAAGGTTACCTGAGAATTAAGCAGTCTCCCTTGAGAACAGTAAAATCAGCTAGGAACCATACCTATTTGAGCTCAACATCATGTTGCTGGTATTTAAGCTGTGCCTGAATCATAGTAGGTGATCAAAAAAGGTTTTTTTGGATTAATTAACACATTTATTTTCTGAGGAATCAATGGAAAAGGATCTGTACTGTATAATGTTGAGCTAAGAAAACCTTTACTAATTTAAATCAAATCCTTTTGTAAATGGAACATGTGTGTAACCTGCCAGTCACCTTAATTAGAAACCAAACTACTGCTAACAGAAGGCTATCCTATGCTTGAAAATAGTAAATGAATGTTATGATAAAAACATTATTCTAAGAAACTACAGTGTGTGAACATGAGAACTATTGGGATTGGTTTCAAGTGTAGCACAGCAGGTGCTCTGTTTTTATTAAATTTGTGTATGAGCATTTAGACAGGGTTGGGTTGCTATCAAGCAAATTGAGGACAGAAAGGTGTAGAACATATTATTACTAAAGGAAGCTGTCTAGTTTCCCTTGCCCTAGAATTATTCTTCAACACAGTGTATTATTCCCTGTGTAATGATTAAATCATGTATGTTCAGTTTAAAATTTGAAATAAGCACTTCAAAAATATGATGTAAATGGAAACTCATAATTCCTTCACTCTGAAATACCACTATCTATAGCATGAGTGGATTTATATCCATCTAGCTATACAAACACAATTATATATTAAAAGGTTTTTTTTATATAGTGGTTATTTTAGAGTTAAGGGGTTATATATATTTATGTATAAATAAATTACCCAAGCCAGGAATGACAGTGAATTCACCAAATCCCAATATGCATTCCTCCCACATATCTCCGCCCCACAAAACTTGACAGCTTTGGCTGGTACACTCTGTGATTTCCAAATATTATTATCTCAGTCCTAGGATAGTCATCAATCACAATCTTCTTCATCTATGGGGATAACAAATTTAAGAAATATACACAGGAGCTGTACAGGAACTAAAATAAAGTACTATCTTTATTTTCCAAAGTATAGGTTTCTTGGTAAAATTGATTTTGAAGACACAGCTTGATCCAGAAACCAGGGGCCTTTTATTCATTTATTCAAAAAATGCTTGTAGAATTATACCAACAAGTATTCTGAGCAGTGTGGATAGAGAAGTTAAATTCTTATGGAGCTTACACTCTAGTTGGGAAAAGACAGAATAAAGAAACAATAAACTATGTGGGATATCAAGGAAAGGTGTAAAGAGTGCTAGGAAGGGGACTGTCATTTTGAGCAGGGTAGTTTGCAAAGACCTCACGAAGAGGGAGACATTTGAGCAGAGACCTGAAGGGTGCAATTATATCTTGAGAAATAGCATTCCAGGCAGAGGAAAGTATGAATGCCAAGGCCCCAAGATGACAGCATATCAGGCTTTCTACTTCTGTCTTCCTGAATTGAATTGCTTCACCTACTGCTGAAGAACCACAGCCTACAACAATGGAGCACAAAGGTGCATCACAACTGCCCCTCTAATCCAGCCCCTCCATCTTATTTCATGCTGGAGCACACCTCATAGAAACATGAGCAGAGAGAGAATATGTTTTATCAGTTTATCAGTTCATTTTCATGCTGCTGATAAAGACATACCCAAGACTGAAAAATACACAAAAGGAAGAGGTTTAAGGTACTTACAGCTCCACATGGCTTGGAAGGCCTTACAATCATGGTGGAAGACAAAGAGAAGCAAGTCATGTCTTCCATGGATGGCAGCAGGCCCCAAAAAAATGCTGTGCAGGGAAACTCCCTTTTTTAAAACCATCAGATCTCGTGAGACTAATTGACTATCATGAGAACAGCACAGGAAAGATGCATCCCCATAATTCAATCACCTCACACAGGGTTCCTCCCCATGACATGTGGAAATTGTGGGATTTACAATTCAAGATGAGATTTGGGTGGGGACACAGCCAAGCCATAACATTCCACTGCTGGCCTCTCCCAAATCTCGTGTTCTCACATTTCAAAACCAATCATGCCTTCCTAACAGTCTCCCAAAATCTTATTTCAGCATTAATTCAAAAGTCCACAGTTCAAAGTTTCATCTGAGAAAAGGCAAGTCCCTTCCACCTATGAGCCTATAAAATCAAAATCAAGTTAGTTACTTCCTAAATACAAGGGGGGTACAAGCATTGGCAAATACAGCCATTCCAAATGGGAGAAATTGGCCATAACAAAAGGGCTGCAGGCTCTATGTAAGTCCAAAATCCAGTGGGGCAATCAAATCTTAAAGCTCCAAAATGACTTCCTTTGACTCCATATCTCACATTCAGGTCATGCTGATACAACAGGTGGGTTCCCATGATCTTGGGCAGCTCTGCTCCTGTGGCTTTGCAGGGTATATCACCCATTCTGACTGCTTTCACAGACTGGTGTTGAATGTCTGTGGCTTTTCCAGGTTTATGGTGCAAGCCGTCAGTGGATCTACCATTCTGGGGTCTGGAGGATGGTGGCCCTCTTCTCACAGCTCCACTAGGTGGTGCCCCAGTACAGACTCTGTGTGGGGGCTCCAAGCCCACATTTATCTTTCACACTACCCTAGGAGAGGTTCTCCCTGAGAGACCTGCCCCTGCAGCAAACTTCTGCCTAGACATCCAGGTATTTCCATACATCTTCTGAAATCTAGATGGAGGTCCCCAAACCTCATTCTTGATTTTCATGCACCCACAGGCTCAGCACTACATAGAAGCTTCCAAGGCTTGGGGTTTGCACCCTCTGAAGCAACAGTCCAAGCTGTCCCTTGGTCCCTTTTAGCCATGGATAGAGGAGCTGGAATGCAGGGCACCAAGTCCCTAGGCTACACACAGCAGTGGGGCCCTGGGCCTTGGCCACAAAACCATCTTTTCTTCACAGACCTCTGGGGCTATAAAGGGAGGAGCTGCCCTAAAGACCTCTGACGTGCCCTGGAGATATTTTCCACATTATCTTGGCAAATTACATTTGGCTCCTTATTACTTATGCAAATTTCTGCAGCAGGCTTGAATTTCTCCTCAGAAAATGGGATTTTCTTTTCTATCACTTTGTCAGGCTGCAAATTATCTGACTTTTATGCTCTGTTTCCCTTTTAAAACCGAGTGCCTTTAACAGCACCCAAGTCATCTCTTGAATGCTTTGCTACTTAGAAATTTCTTCCACCAGATAACCTAAATCATCTCTCTCAAGTTCAAAGTTCCACAAATCTCTAGGGCAGGGGCAAAATACTACCAGTCTCCTTGCTAAAGTATAACAAGAGTCACCTTCACTCCAGTTCCCAGCAAGTTTCTCATCTTCATCTGAGACCACCTCAGCCTAGATTTTATGGTCCACATTATTATCAGCATTTTGGTCAAAACCATCCAACAAGTCTTTAAGAAGTTCCAAGCTTTCCCACATTTTTCTGTCTTCTTCTGAGCCCTCCAAACTGTTCTAACCTCTGCCTGTTACCCAGTTCCAAAGTCGCTTCCACATTTTCAGAGCACCCCACTCCTGGTACCAATTTTCTGTATTAGTCTGTTTTCATGTTGCTGATAAAGGTACACCTGAAACTGGAAAATTTACAAAAGAGAAAGGTTTAATGGATTTACAGTTCCACGTAGTTGGGAAAGCCTCACAATCATGGCAGAAAGCAATGAGAAGCAAGTTACATCTTACATGGATGGTGGCAGGCAAAAAAAGAGCTTGTGAAGGGAAACCCCCACTTCTAAAACCCTCAGATCCTGTGAGACTCATACACTATCACGAGAACACCACAGGAAAGACCTGCTCCCATAATTCAATTGTCTCCCACGTGGTTCCTCCCATGACACATGGGAATTGTGGGAGTTACAATTCATGATGAGATTTGGGTAGGGATACAGCCAAACCATATATATCAGTAATCTGAACATCAGAGAAAAAGCAGAGCCATGATTTGAGGCTATGCTAGAAAAATGTGATTTTCTCCAAAATCACCAAATAAAAGAGAATATCTGTATTTTTATGGGAATGAGGCAATAATACAAGAACACATAGGAATCAGAAGTGATCCTCCCAAGGAAAGAATTGAATATGATTTTCTGTATGTCTCTCTGAGTGTGGGGGATGAATAAAAGTGTTTCCTTCTTTTTAAAAAAGTTCATATTATATATATTCTCCAAATATTTTAAAGATAATTTTACATCGTATATGTTTTCTCTGTAATAAGGTAATTACTTTTACTATCTTCTCTGTGACTATTTTTCAACCATTTGCGTT